ATTATCGAACACCTGAGAATACTTCGAGAAAATGAAAAATCCTTAAAGCCTTAAAGAACAAATGCCATATGCACTTCTCGGATACAATAATTCTATCCATTCAATGACAAATATGCGGCCAATGGATATATTGACTGGTCACCTGGATGTGCAGGATCCGTTTGACGTTGACATCAGGAGAACACTTATAAATAGTTTAGGCCAAGGCACTTAGCGAAATAACAGCCATATTTTAACATAAAATTTAACAGCAAACTATCGATGCAATATTGTTAAGGATGATTTATAGATGCTAAAAACCAAAAATGCAACATCTAATTACTTTTAGGGGATTTTATAAACAATATTTAGTGCAAAAATAGGGCTTTTTTTTGTTTATTTCACTGTATTTCGAAAACTAAGGATCGGATGGTTTTGCTACTGGACCAATAGTTTTAGAGCATTGAACAAGCTTTAAAATGAGCCATCATACAACCCTGTAGGTCTTTTAGTCTTCGAGAAATGATTTTTTTCCCCCAAAAAAAGAGATTTTCGTAAAAAAATCCTAACTTTTTAAATTTTTATGCTAGACAATTAATTTTTTACACATACATAGTAGATGAGGCAGGCATTATTGAGCCCAAATTTGGGCCCGATCCGATGGGTCGTTTCGGCATAATACCCTTGTCAAGCAAAATGGGCATGTTTCTAAAGCAGTCTGTCGAATTGAGGATAAGTTTTTTATATTTCTTTTGAAAAGTCCACTGATAAGTCGAAATGCCAAACTATCGATCCTCTATCTCAGATTTTCCATTTAATTTTTTTATCGCAAGTAAAACGGCTTAGAACATGACTGAAAATGGAAAAAATTGACAGGAATTCAAACGCAGTGACAGCGAGCTCCCCCCCGCCCACGCAAATTACATTTTTTTTCCATTTTCAGTGATGTTTGAAGCCGTTTTACTTGCGATAAAAAAATTAAATGGAAAATCTGAGATAGAGGATCGATATTTTGGCATTTCGACTTATCAGTGGACTTTTCAAAATAAATATAAAAAAATTATCCTCAATTCGACAGACTGCTTTAGAAACATCCCCATTTTGCTTGACAAGGGTATTATGCTGAAACGACCCATCGGACCGGGCCCAAATTTGGGCTCAATAAAGCCTGCCTCATCTACTATGTATGTGTAAAAAATTAATTGTGTAGCATAAAAATTAAAAAAGTTAGGAATTTTTTACGAAAATCTCTTTTTTTTGGGGAAAAAAATCATTTCTCGAAGACTAAAAGACCTACAGGGTATGATGGCTCATTTTAAACCTTGTTCAATGCTTTAAAACTATTACCACAGTAGCAAAATCATCCAATCATTGGTTTTCGAAATACAGTGAAATAAACAAAAAAAAAACCTATTTTTGCACTAAATATTGTTTATAAAATCCCCTAAAAGTAATTAGATGTTGCATTTTTGGTTTTTAGCGTCTATAAATGATCCTTAACAATACTGGATCGATAGTTAAATTTTATGTTACGAAAAAATTTATCTACCCTGGCCTAGTTATAATAAGCAACATAGGAAAAAAACGAAGACTGTCTACAGGCAAACCCCCCTCACCTACAAACCTAGCATGAAGATCTTCCTTAGGAAAACTGTGAAGCGGAACAAACTACTTCCAAGATTCTCTCCCAAGCCAGTTAACATTGACAATATTGTGACCATTGACACTCAAGACACGACAATACATGAAAAGAATATTGAAAATCTTCTAGGAAATAACTCTAGAAATTCCTTAGCCGTCCCTCAGACCCTCCGGTTCCAGGACCTGAAGGACAACTCAGGAATACTCCCCCCCAAGCTGGGACGAGCAAGGATTCAGAGTAATGCCCACGACTTCATTCACTTTTTTGACCTCTTCCCAGTAAATAAGGAACTTTAGTCTCTGGAAGAACAATACAAATCAGTAAGAACAGCCATAGAAAATGGACTCCCATACTTCAAAAGCCTGCAAAATTTCGATCAAAGTTTCTAGTGAACAAAGTTAACTCCGAACTAAGTAAATTCATGTTCGACTTTACCCATTTTCTACAAGCTAGAAATGTCTTAGATCAGCTGAACTTAGCCCTCCAAGTCATCTTGCAAATCCTGAAATGGGCCGTTATGATATTCGAACACTACTCCGAAATCCAGCTTCCTTATATCTACGAAGAAGATATATCTAAGTACTATGATATAATTAGCATTAATGGATACCTACTTCTCAAACTACACCATGATCTTCATCCTGCATTTCTCCATTCTGTCACCAGAATTTCTCACATATTTCCATCTTTTTTCCAATACTCACGACGAATCATGCCACCATAATTCTTCCTGCTCCCTATTTGGTCCTGAGCGAAAATTTATTCCATTACACGGAAGTTCCATGTCGTAAAATTGATTCCGAATACCTCTGTCACGAAGGATTTTTACAAGATAACAATCAGGATTGTATAAGCCAAATACTTCAAATAAGCAACTTGCCGGTAGATCGGGTTCTGGTCCTACAATGCATTCCAATAACCTCTGGAATGTAGCGGGCGCGGAGTGTAATCCAAAAGGCATTACTCGAAACTGGTATAGACCCATTCCAGGTACTGTAAAAGCTATAATAGGCTTACTTTTCTCGGCAAGAGGAATCTGCCAATATCGCTGTTTGAGGTCGATGTTGGAAATGTATCGAGCTCTTCTTAACTTATCTAGTATGGAGTTGATAAATGGAATGGGGTAGGCATCTTTTCGGCTAACGGTATTCACCTTTTTAAAGTCAATGCAGAAATGGGGCTCAATCAATACCACGTTAATACAAGATCTATCCGATGCTCATTATATAGCCATATTTCCTAGGACTACGAAAGTATCAACTCGTCGCCCAACAACCAAGATAATGATTCTTGAAGGAGTATTCTTAATCAGTTTACCACCAATTTGCGAATTCAGAACTTCCAGTGAAAACTTCTTAAATGAGAAAACTGTAATACAAGAAGAACCATTAACACTTCCCAGAATACACGCAAGAAACGATGATCGGTAACCCCAAGTAAAGCATCTGAAACTCTCCCGGGTACCCCTGGATGAACTTCACAAATTAATAAGGGCAGAAGAACACCTCAAATCAATCGAAGCTGAAACGCAATCAACAAGTAACTGTCACTTCTGGATAACACCTTTGTATATTTTAGGCACGATGTTGTTTGTTACAAACTCAAACTAAGATGGAACCTGGGAAGAAGAAAGATTTTAAATAAGAACCTTAGGAGGACAGCAATGGAAGAAACAAGTCCCGAAGAAGAGGAACCAACAGCTTTGTTGGTCTCTTACAAAACTTCCACCGGGAAGGAAGAAATTACGGATCAATGAACCCATGGCTCAGCAGAAAAACCTTAATGTTGGTGGTTACAGTAGAAAGCTTTCTCTATTTGAAGTAACATAATATGAAAATAGTTGACCAGATATGGAAATTTTCTTCTTTTACTTTGAACTCTGATTATGTCCGAATAATATTGACAATTTGATTCACATGAGACAGAAACTAACTACTGCTTGTCAATCAGAGGTTGCAATGGAATAACTATTGTTCACTTATCTTAATAAAACACAACTGACAATTTTGAGCCCAATTTAGTCAATCCCCAACACAGTTTTGCCTGGAAATCATACATAAATCAAACAGCTAAAATTGAAAATAAATCATCATAATTCAGGTAAATAATTATTTATTATTTGATTGGCCAGGATGTTGCATATACATTTCCAGCATTTTTGACAAAAGTATAATTATTTATTACAAAATCAAATTTACATATAAAGCATTAGCAATAATATTGAATTTCAAATGCATTCGACCAGATGTACTACAAATGTGTTCAGATTATAATAATTAATTGATATAGTTTGACTGATCTTGGAAAAAATTACAACACGCCTCTTATAGCCCACACGTTATTTTTATATAGAGTTCCTGCAGCTTAAGATATTTACATTTGCAATATATAAATGAATCACAGGTCATTATTATCCAACCTTTAATATTCTACAAAATGTCTCGTATTTTCGATCAATCATCCTCACAAAAAAAAAACCTTGACATACATAAACTAATAACGCCATACGAATGTAATTACGAAGATACACGGAATAGCTCCTTCCATCCAATTTGAAGCCCGAAACCACACCACACACATATTTGCTTTGAAATAAAACCGATCTAATAAATCAAAATCCAGAGATTTTTCCTTTCACCTGGTTTCGGCAAATTCGATTTGGATCATGATGGAAGCTACAGCGGGAGAGGGACGGGAGAGGATGAGCGGAGAGAGAAAACATCGCAGCATTAAACTTGTCAGGGTTTAGTTCCAAATTTCCTCGATGTTTGGATTTGGGCCCGGGATTGGATTTGAGTGAAATTTGATCCTTATACCTGATGCCAAAAAGAAAGCGACTTGCCTTAAGGACAAATCGGAAGTAAAGTAATTTCGTTTGAAAAATATAAAAATATATTTGTTATGTTGAAGGATCATATGGATTTTATAAATTATAAAATATAAACATGATATTGAACATAACGGTGGCTAGTACAGACATTTGATAAAGAAAATACTTAAACACCAGAAATAGAGAATGAGGAAACACAAATTAAAAATGTAATACTAAAAACAAAACAATGTTCATTAAAACAGACCCCACTATATGCACTGTGATATCATTTTCCCATTTCGAAAGGGAATCAGTTTTCCATTGGGCCAATAAAATGAGAACCATTAGAGAAAAATGTCGGTATCCAGTTTCACCAAGATTAATGGGCACTGCAAGGATTGCAGGATTGTGCATTACCGAGCAAAAATACGGATTTTTAAAAACCCTTTTAAGATTAATCATTCCAGGTGCAAAAGTTTGCAAAATGTATGAAATTTTAATGGCTTTTATTGCGGTAAGATGTTTCTTTTCAAAATGTGAAAATAAGAAAATATAAACAAGACTTACCCAAGGATTAGCGACAAGATGACACTCGAAATAAACGTCAGCACCCTCGTTAATATTGCTACCGTCTAATCCGTGTCCGAGGGTCATGTTTACTTTCGGCGGATATAAAACTTTGAGCATCCAGGTTCGTTGAATTTCACTGAAAAATTCAAATTAACGATATTCAATATCTGATAGTGGATTATCGACAAAAAACACTAAAATTGCTGGGGAGCTAAAACACTCTTCAGCGGTCCAAATATATGCTTTTTTCGACCCTTTGTCTTATTTGTTTGGAGTATTTAAGTATTCAAGAGTACCTATTCAAGTATTTTATAACTAATAGGTACTTGCCTAAAAGGTATTCGTTGATTAGAAGCCTTACAGGCCAAAGTAAGGCCATGATCACTTGCTTTTGGCACAAAATGTAACGCGCTGGTGGTGACGTTCCCATCCGCACTCACTACCATGTCTCCACCTTCTAAACGTCGGCCATCCTGAAACAGAAATATTTTTTTTAGTACTTGTTGAAAATACATCATCTGCTAAACCTTTGGATTTTAAATTAGTATAAAATTAGGTTATCCAGAATATATTCTTTTCACATACCTAATTAACATTTGATCAATTTTAGAACAAGAAGGTACATGTTTTTCTAATACATCCATGTCTTTTTGGATTTTGGATACCTGACTATACAACATCAGAAATATTACAAAAAATACTTGAAAATCGAAAATAGAACTTATGCCAATCGAAAACTGAAACCATTGTAGAGGGATCTGAATCCCAAAGCAGTTACCAATGATGAACTATTTGGAGTCATCAATCCCTCGACGAGCGAGTGGAAAGATGGTCTATTTTCAGTGATAATGAGAGATCAAGCTTATTTAAGTGAAGACGGACAAAAATGGATTTTGCTGGATGGTGATATTGACCTTATGTGGATTGAATCATTAAATACTCTTATCGATGATAAGAAGGTAAGTGAAAATGTTGCTCCAAGTATTGGTCTAAGCTACAACAATGTATATCTGCCCTGATCACAACTACAGAAGCTACCATTTCCAATTCTATAACTAAAACAATATTTCACACAGCTACCAATCAATTTTATGTCAAGGAAATTGGTGAACAAACTTAGCTTTGCGTTGCTGGTTCTTCGACAATAACGTCACGCACTCAAACTAGCACAGTGACAAATGTGCCATTGAATTTTAATACATCAGAAATGTTACAAAAAAAAATACTTGAAAAATCTTTGGAAAAAAAGACTGGAAAAGTATATAGGCAATAAAACGATGATTTACTTTATCGACAATCGATATGCCTGAACTTAACAAATATATTTTACTGTTCAGCCTCATACAACAAAACATAGATTATCAACATTGGTACGGTAGGCAAACATTGTCCTTGAAAGACATCCACAATGTCCAATTTATATCAGCAATGAATCCAACCGCATGATCCTCCACAATAGATCCAAGACTCCAAAGACACTTTTGCGTATTCGCTGTCAGTTTTCCTTCAGAAGAAAATTGTTTGCACATTCACAGGTCCATATTTTCACAAAATCTGGACATTCCACAAAAAAAACTCATGAAATTATGTCCAACTTTAGTGAAGGCTGCCTTCTCGCTCCACGTCAAAGTTAAACAATCATTTTCACCAACCGCAGTAAAATTTCATTATACGTTTACACTAATAGATTTATCGAATATATTGCAAGGCATGTGTTCACAACAGGTGCCGTTATGACGAACCAATCTTCATTGATAAGATTGTGAACGCACGAAGCAGATAGGGTTTATGGAGATAAATTAATTGAAAGACGGTAAATGGATTCCCTTAATAATAATTCTTTATTAACGGACCAGCCAGTACCTACACTATATATTCTGAATAACAATAACTAATGTTAGAAAAATCTAAATTACATTAACAATTTATTAATAAAATCTAATATCTAATAACTGAAAACTAAAAACCCGGTCGTATCATGTTCTTTAACCCTTTGAAAGATAGATTAAAGAGATCTACCTCCACTGGAAAGTGATTGGCATCTCTGCAGATTTTCGATAGAATAGCCATAATTGGTCCTGTGATATATTATCTTGAACAATTCATTCTGGCTTGTAAATCTAGCAGGTACATGAATATTTAAACTTTCGATCAGAGGAGGACAATCAATTGAATTATTTACAATTTTATACAAAAAACAAATGCCAAAATTTCTCCTGCAGATTTCTAACGTAGGAAGGTGAAGTTAATATACATTAACATATAATTTATCTATATGTCTAAGAAATCGTCTTTGAACCCCTTTCCAGCATAGTTATATAAACCTGGTAGCTTGGGGACCAGACAGGATGAGCATTTTCAATTATGGATCCTACTGAACAATTCACAGTTTTTAATGCAAAAATATTGTTAAAGTCTTTCAAAGTGCGGACTACAAAGCCAAGAAGCTCTAAGGCTCCGTTGCAAATATTTTCGATATGGAGATTAGATTGAACGTAAAATCCTTATTGGAAGTTACTCCTCTAAGTCTTTCAACGATTTTACTTTCTCTAGTTCCTGTCCAAGCAATACATATGGGTATATTATGATATTTGAAAAAGGATATAACCCTGCATTTCTTAACATTTAAGTCTAAGTCATTAATTCTACACCAGAGGGCAACGCCATTAAGATCTGCTTGTAGCTGTCTAGAGTCGTCCAATGTTAAAACCAGTCTATACAATTTCGCGTCATACGCATTAATTCTACACCAGAGGGCAAGGCAATTGAGATCTGCTTGCAGCTGTCTATAATCATCCAATGTCCAAGTCCAAAACATCATATATGTAGCAATTATTGAATAATAAAGGTGAAAGATGTCCCCCCTGTGGAACTCCGGACGAAACATAAATTGGAAACGAGATGAAATTCTTTATTTCTACCACCTGGGCCCTATCAGTCAAAAAACTCTCCACCCACAACAATAATCTTACAGCGCTACCCCCAAGTTTTCTTATAAGAGTGGAAATATTGATCCAGTCGTGTGTTTTACTAAAGTCTGTGTTGGCAGAGTCAACCTGACTACCGCCTCCCACAGTTTCCACTAAGTCATATTGTCCGTCTGCCGTAATAATTACCTATGTTTGTATTTTTGTAATAATTTAATATTAGGTCTGTTTCTGCAGAAATCACAAACCAATCAGAGCGAATTTCATTGGTTGAAAACAGTCAGAAACAGTCAGAAAACTATTTTTAACCAATGAAATTCGCTCTGACTGGTTTGTGATTTCTGCAGAAACAGACCTTGGACAGAGATTGGATAATTTTGTTAAGTGCGACAACGTCGCTTTTTTACGTCAGCAAGGCAATGCAGCCGTCTTATGGTTTCACCATTTTTTTGACTTCTCCCTTCTTCCTTTTTACTGTAACAAGTCAAGACGTAATTTTCACATTATTCTTCATTTTTCTCATATTAAAACAAGTTATATTGTTGGCAATAAATGAATAAGTTGTTTAAAATTAATTGTTTAATATCACTGTTAATTTACTTCATCCTGAACATCCTACGAATCAGTGTTACATCAGCAAACTACGTAGATGTTGGCTCGTCTGATAAAGCTGAAGACTCCACATCACACACATATTGTTATTTTACCAGATTTGTTACTGTGGATTTTTCCTTCACAAATCCATGTTGAGCTACTGAAAGAACGATCCTGAAGTGCGGAGTCATTCTAGATGTTACCAAAGAGTCAAACATTTTTAGTCCGCTCAATCCCCTGACTTAAATATTGGAGTTACATACCACATTTTCTAACAGGTAGGAAAAATGCCAACTGATATGCCATGGACAAATTAAATAGAGCAAGTCTTAGAGAGGACAAATTTTGTATGTTTCAAAAAGTCAACTGTCAAGCCATCAAGTCCACGACCCAAATTATTATTCAATTTGTCCAAATTATCGAAGACCTCCATAATTGTACGGTTTTAATGAATTATTGATTGAAGAAGTTAATAAGGGTTCTGAAGAAATCGACGAGAATGCTGTTTTTGAAAAATCTCTAATTTACTGTCATTTTGCGGAAGGTATTGATGATCCGAAATACTTTCCAATAACCGATTTCAATCATTTAAGTCGCCTACTCCACGAAGCCCTCAGCAATTACAACGATCTAGTATAGCGGCAATGAATTTGGTGGGTACTCTTTGAAGACTCCACGTATCATATTTGTAGAATGAACCTTATTTTGAAAGCACCTAGAGGCAACGCATTACTAGTAGGAGTTGGAGGATTTGGTAAACAGTTTTTAACGAGATTAGCTGCCTTCATTTCTTCATCCGAATTATTCCAAGTTCAACTGAAAAAAGGCTATTCTATGGCCGCCATGAAAGCTGATATTGCCACTTTGTACATGAAAGTTCGCTTGAAAAGTGTAATTTTTAGAATCAAAATTCTTCACTTTTATGTTAGCAGACTCTATCTTTATTGACATTTTCCTTCAACTTGAAAGCATCATACCTGTTAGAAATATATTACAATATACAAGGATATAATAATCTCCCACACTTATTAAAAATATAAAAGAAAATAAAAGCAACTACCAAACGTAGTCATTTGATCTAATATTCGGTCGATGGACTCTTTTTGGTCTTACATATTGATTTTCGACATCAGTTTTTGGTTTATTATTTATTGGGCGATGTTCAACTTGTTCTTCTTGAACTTCTGAGTCGGAATTGTCAAATTCTAATGGTTCTTCTTCTACATCCATGTTTGCAGAGTTAAATTGTTCAGGTTCAATATTCGGCTGTTTTTCTTCTTAATCTGAACAAACAGGTGAACAAACAGGGTTTCTTACCCTAGGTCTGTATGTTTACTGGTACTTGGTGATTCGGTAGAAACTGTTATATTTGCTTTAGGTACTGAAGTTGTTCTTACTTGATAATGTGTCGTTTCAAAGCATATCCATCATCAAGTTGTTCTAAATAGTGCAGCATGCCATATTTTTCAACAGCTCCGAATTTCCATAAACATTTGTTGGCTTCGTAATACCTTGTACTCTTTCTCCGACACGTAAATCTCTTGTGTCTATGGACTGGCTTTTTGACTTGACCTGTTTGGTTGGAAGAGTGCATCTAATTTAGTTCTGATACTTCGTTGGAAATATAATTCCGCCGGGAATTTGTCACAAAGAAGAGGTGTAAAGGATTTCTTAAATCTTCCTATTTATTGAAATACGATCCTCGGACATAGCTTTTAGTCTCATTTTTAATGTTTAAACATTTCTTTCAGCTAAACCGTTGGTTGCTGGATACCCGGGAGTTATAAGTTTTTGAAAAATACCATGTTGCTTCGAAAAAGTTTCAAATTGTTCGCCCACAAAAATTTTGGCATTGTCTGATATCATAACTCAAGGATAGCCGTATAAACCATAATCTCTCACAACCTTGATATCTGCTCATCTAGATTCAGCGTCATTTACTATTAAAAAGT